TATATATATATATATATATAATTGACTGAGGGAATCTGTTTTATAATTGTATTGCTACTGTTGCTATTATTCTAACAGTCAACAGTCAGTGGTAACGTAATATAAATAGGGTGCTTGTTAAATAAGTAATAAACTAAAAACCTGAAATCAAATAAAGATAAAATATAAGGCTTGCACATACCCCTTTAAAAAATAAAAAAAAGGGCACAAGTGCATTGGGAAGGAATCACATAGACTTAAGAGGGTTTTTAACTGATAATACCGGTAAGTAAAATAATAGAATGATATGACTACCAAGAACGTTATTAAAATCTGAGGTTTAATAAACAATACAGCATGCAGAATGTGAATTTCAATATCCCCATCTTACTGATCAGACCTTAGTTAAACTGTCATGTTCAATTGTGAGAGAGTGTGAAGAAGCAGAAGAGCTCTAACTTTGCAGTCAGACAGCCTTTGAATCACATCATGATTCCAGCATTAACAGCTCAGTGATACTGGTAAACCACTGAACTCAGTGTTTTCATTTATAAAATGGAGTAATGATACTAGTAGTTAAACGGCTGCCACAAGTGTATGTGACAAATGCCTAGGAGAAGGAAAGTAAGTGTTAGCTGCTATTGTTGCTGTTTTTATTACTCATTTCTTATTCTCTTTATAATAACATTCTCAGGATTGTCAGAAAAACATTAGCAAAACGCAAAATGAACATCTTTCTCACCTGTCCGCTATACTCCCTGGCTGTACTTCCTTCACAAAAATATCAACTTTTCCCAGATTTTGACTTCTAAGAGCCACCACACTGAATCCAAGGCCTCCAGTTGAAGGCCGTTCTATATCTATATATTCAATTTGCCGGCCCTAAAAAAAGGGAAATTAGAAAAAAAAAAAAAGAACAAGTCAATGACGTACATTTAACCAACATACCCTTTCCGAAGAACTGAAATTGCCATTTTGTGAATAGCACAGAAACAGCTTCTCCTAAGTCATCTCTATCTATAAAACCAAATAAACTCAGCATTTCAGTAATAAATTGCTTCTGGAAAGCTTCTCCTTTGATTATTTTCAGTAGAACATAAGGGGGAATGCATAGTGTTCTGCAACCTCAGGGAATAGAAGAGGTATTTTCACACTTCATTCACATTAAGAGATGAATCCCAAGGTGGATAAAAATTTCAATGTCCTTTCCCACAGTAAATTTTAAATTACTTTTTACACTGAATTTCTCTAAGTTCTTTTGGTACAAAATATATTTTTAAATGAGGAAAGCAAATTACATATATCAAAAATATGCTAGTGGTTTAGCTTAAGTCAAAACCAGCTGCATTTTTGTTTTTAATTCTATTGTGATGAATTAATATTTTATTTTAATAGGTTAATTAAAAAGATTATGAAAAGGCCACCATTCAAATGGCTTCTACCTGTGACGAACAAATATTTTATTGCTTTAGTTAATAATTACATTTATAACATGAGAACTTCACAAACATAACTCACAAAAGCATCACATAAAATTATTAGTCAAATTAAGGTGAAAGAGCTATAAAGTCAAAAAAGGAATTAGGTATAGAACATTATTTAACTCTCACACTTTAAACAGATTCTTTTTAACTTTCAAACTCAAGTTCCATTTTTTAAGACACTAATTAGAAGGTGAAGTGGAAAACACAAAACATTCCTAAAATATAATTGCCTATTATTTAATTTTTAATAAGTATTAGGGATAACACTGAATTATTCTTTAAAATGTTTCCCTAGATTTTCCAAATTATATTAGTTCTAATTCCCATTGTTTTGATATAATATTAAAAATAGTTTCAAAAGTGTTTTATCATCTATATACATATTAATTTTCCTCCTATGATCAAAACCATAAGAATCTCTTTCCTTACAAGTATAGACAGAGATACATTGAATTGGAGTCATTATCTAAAAACTCTCCTCACTACACACATGGATGTTTTCCCTATATAATTTTAAGCCAATAGATCTTCAACACACAGATGAGAAATTATCGATTCCTCCTAATAATACAAAAACAAGAAAACAAAACACATACATAGTAATACATTTGAAGGCAAAAAGGGTGAGTGTAGGTTTCTTTTTTAACCTATCATAGAAGAAATAAAGCTAAATATTCCCATGACAAGATAACTTTACCTGAGCCATCTGTTGAATGATTGAGTTAAAGTCTTCACTTGCCAACTTAGGGGTCCAAGGAAGTAACCCAGAAGCAGTTGAGTTATTAGAGGACCTTTGGGCATTCCCATTAGTAATGGCACCATCCGTGAACACTAATAAACCTTTCCTAGAAAAATCAAAGTTGGCTGAACAATCCGAGGGTATATGGCTGAGCTGTTGGGGGGAAAAAAAAATCATCAACAGGAACCTAAAGAAAAGAAGTTATTTCTATTTACTAAATATTATATTTTACCTATCACATGTGTAATGGCCATGTTAAATACATACTTGTGAAAAAAAATTAGGTACAGATACATGAATCTGTGTATTTATAAAGCTATGAATTCCAGTTAGTATTTCACAAAATGTTTAACAGCTTAAAATTTGTTCTTGTTTTCTGCCTTCTACCATTACTTCAAGTTTATAGCATGTACAACAACAGTTCATTACATTTCACATACACAGATACATTCAATCATATAAACACACATGTAGGACACTGAGTTATTTTGCATTTATCTGTACAATTCCATGTGGAGCCACAAAAAATTGCAGGTAGTACATAACAAAAATAACAATAACAGAACCTACTGAGTACTTGCTATGAACAAAGTACTATACCAAAACTTTCATGTATTACCTCATCTAATCTTTGCAACAGCCCTATGAGATATTATTATTCCATTTTGTGAATACGGAAACTAAGGCATATAGGGGTAAAGTAGCTTGCCCAAGATTAGTAGAAAATGAGTCACACAGCCACTGAAACATTAGTTAAAAAAAACAAATGGTGGGGGAGAATTCTGTAATTATGGGGAACAGGAAAATAGAGGTTAATTTTTTAAATATAATTGGCTGATATGAATGCCAACACAGCGGAATAAAGGTAGCATCAAGAACAAATGTCAATGGGCCGGCCGAGTGGCTCAGTTGGTTAAGAGCTCGCTCAAGAGCTTGAGCTCTGAGTAACAGTGGTTCGATTCCCGGCCCGAGCTGAGCAGTCGCTGAGCTGCCAACTGGTAGCAGGATGGCTCAGCTTAAAAAAAAAAAAGAACAAATGTCAATAGGTCCTCACTGAAAAAATCAACCCATAGAAATGCTATGAAAACACTCATAGGAAAAAAAAATCACAGGGGTTTTAGAGTTGAGTGGATAAAATATGATTATGTATACAACAACTGCAAACTATATAAATATAAAAGATTATTATGATGAAATGGTTGGTTAAGTCCACTGTGAGTCCAATAAGAGTGATAGATTTTTGTGATCTTTCCCAATTTCTATTGCTACCAATAGCATTCACTGTTGTGATATGGGATTCATCTCATGATCATGGACTACAAAAGCTAACTTCAATATGGGGAGTGCTAAAACTATGGTATAAATTCTGATTTAGAGAAAGAAATTCACAGAAAGACATATGTGCAAAGTTTAATCCTTAATTAGTCATTTAAGAATCCCTCACTAAATATTTACAGGAAGGCATTTTGGTTTATCAGCAAAGCACATTTTTTTCCCCAAATTCTGTTAATTTTCACTTAACAACTCTGCCACCTTATCTACAATTACATCTAAAATTCTGCCCAGGGCCGGCCGAGTGGCACGATGGTTAAGAGCTGGCTTAGGACGCCAGAGGGCCCCGGTTCGGATCCCACATATGAGGTTCCAGTGACACTGCGCTCTACAGCTAAGATGCTGAACAACAGCTCAACCTGGAGCTGGGCTGCCGTGAGTCGCCGGCAACGGCGTAGGCTGAAGAACAAAACAACAACAACTTGTCTGTTCCCCTTCCCCCAATTTCCCAGCGCTGTTCCCATCCCCCAATTCCCCAATAAAAAATCTTAAAAAAAAAAGTCTGCCCAAATTTAATCTATAATGATAGCTACTATTCAACCTCACCTTCTAGAATAAATTACTTAAAATCAATTTGCCATCCCTGACCCTAAAACACAGCAACCAAGAGGACAGTTAAAACTATTTATTTATATCACTTTAAGTAGAGATGTTCTGTGTCCTGTAATTCAACAACTATGAATTTAGAGCCTGCAAGAATCCAGGTACTATGCTGTATGTAGTGGAGGAAACACAGATACTATTAAAATACCAGGCATACTGCTTCCAAGGACTTTCTAAACAGAATATCTGTGACATTTGATAATTATTTGATAAATATTTGATAATTATTGAGAGGTATAAATAATGTGCTACAGGGCATGAAAACTTCTTGCTAGAAAAAAAGACTTCATGAAAAAACATATTTAAATACTTAAATACTATTTTATAATTTTGAAGAAAATATTAACGACTCTCAAAACATCTGATGTTTACATATTTAAATATGTATAAAACCCATATTCCAAAGCCATACACATAATTTACTATCAATATTTTTAAACTATCCATGTCCACCATACCCACAGGTCACACGTTCCAGTACACTTTCTTTGCTGAATTGAGAGTATTTAGAGATAAGTCTGTCTCTTTCTCTATCTCCTGTCTTTCTTCGCTGGTTTGAATATATTGACATGTAAAACTCTGACGGGTAACTTACCTGCCCTTTGAGTTGTTTGATGGACTGCTGAAGTGTGAGTATCTGGTTGAAGAGAGGGCTCTTTAGTGTCTCATAAAACATAGACAGCTTCTCATTCTGCGACGTGTCACCCTTCTCCTGCAATTTCACTTTCAGGCGATCCAGAACCTGCAGGACCTGCAGTTTATCTTGTTTGAAGAAGGACAACCAGAGTACAAGTTAATCCCTTCTCATATTCTAATTTTGAACCATTAATTAGTTTACTGATAGAAGTATATATTCATATACCTGTAGCAGGATTTTCAGGCATTTTGAATTAGTGTCTTCAATCACTTTAAAGAAACCTAAAGAAAAAATTTAAATTACAAAAGATGATTTACCGTTAGTATATACACGTCCATAGTCCTGTATAAAATTTAAAGAAAACCTCGAGAACATTCTTGATCAAAAGACTTCACTCAGGAAATTCAAATTAAAACCACAATGAGGAGCCACTACAGTACACCACTACGATGACTAAAAGTAGAAAGCAAAACAACAGACAATACTAAGTGCTGACAAAGATGTGAAGCAACTGGAACTCTCATATGTCGCTAGCAGGAATGTAAAATGGCACAAACACTTAATTGTTTGGCAGTTTTTATAAAACTAAATATACACTTATTACATGACCCAGCACTTCCACTCCTAAATACTTAACCAAAAGAAATGAAAATATATGCCCACGAGAGACGTGTACATGAAGGTTCATAGCATTTTTACTTTTAAAAGTCCCAAACTAGGAAAAACCAAATGTCTAATAACAGATAAATGGATAAACAAATTATGGTATGTGAACATGATAGAATACTCAGAAGTAATATGAAAAAAAATTACTGAACACATAGCATGGATGAATCTCAAAAACAGTATGTTGAGGAAAAGAAACCAGACACAAAGGATAATCTGTATGATTCTAATCATCTGAAGTTGAATCTATAGCTACAGATCAGTTTCCCAGGGCAGGTGGAAATGAGTTGACTGGGAAGGGATCTGAGGGAGCTTTTTGGGGTGATGGAAATGTTCCGTTTTAAATTGGGTATTGTTTACACAGATGCATACATTTGTAAAAAAAAAAATCATTGAACTATATATTTTAAATTGGTACATTTTAGTGTATGTAAATTATATTTTAATAAAGTTGATTTTTTTAAAAGGATCCTGGGCTGAAAAAGAACATTCAAATTAAGGGATCAAGAAGATTCTAAAGAGATTTGAAAAAAAAAAAATATCCCCAAGCTGCGCAAATGATCCAAGACTCTTACCAGTCATCTAAGAGAATTCCCAAAAGGTAACCAACCAATATGGCATTTTCTATGGATAATGTTTTTTAATTCCAGTGGTTTGCTCAAACTAGCCTAAAATGTAACTGAAATTTAAAAAGATAGCAAACCCTCTGCTATGACCAAAATGGCACTTTCACAGTGATCCTTTTTACCAGTGGCACACTGCTATAATGAACCATCAAAGAAAGAAGGGTTAAAATTTTCTTATATCAGTTCACTTGCTGAATGAGATCTTTACCTTCTAATTCAAGGTCATTAAGAAAACACATTAAGAGCCACTAAGGGATGCCACTGGCATTGATAAAAGGCCCGTGTATTCCATCCAAATGTTCACTGGATTCAGTAACTACCAAAAGAACTGCTGAATAGGGCATCACAGAAACACTTCTGATGTGTTCAGCATCTCAGTTGTGCAAGCCTTACAATTACCCATTGACAGGTAAGTGAAGAGAAGGGCAGTCCCAATGGCACTGTCCTTTTCTATAGCAGCATACAGCCCAAAAAGATTGACAACAGCAGCTTTGTGGTCATTAAAACAGCAACCTCTCTAAATTAAAGAATGCAAGCTAAAACTATGGGATGCTATTTTTACTATCGGATTGGCTTTTTTTTTTTAATTAAAAATAGCTTGTACTCTAGGCGTCATGGAAAAACAGGTGGGAATATAAATTTGCACAATTTTTTAGGAGAGCAACATAGCAATATCTATCAGTATTTTAAATTTACATTTACTTTTTTACCCAGAATATCTATTTTTGAGTCTCTCCTAAAGAAATATTTGCAAAAGGGCACACAGACGTATACAAGGATATTTACTGCATTGTTTTTAATAACAAGACTCCTGGAAACCTTGAACTATCAGAAGTAGTCAGTCATTAAAATAATAAGTAGTTCTGCCTATATTGAAACAGGACCGGGACTGAAGCAATTAACAGCAAGCCTGTGGCTCACTCCATCAGCTGGGGATTCCCAGCTTGATACCATACCAGACATCCTTGCAAAAAATCTAAAAGTCTTTCATAGTTAAGAGTTCCTCACTTTAAAATATCAGGAAATACCTGATCTGTCTTAATTGCTTTTTGTAAATCATCTGAGAATGAATGAATGTATGGACTTTTAAGGCATGGCTGGCTGTAAGATGGAAGATAATCACAGACATTTTCTATTTGTGTATCTAATAGAGTATAAAACTTGAGATTTCCCCAACAGAAAAGGTTTTGAGAAAAACGTTTCTGGGGGGGGGGGGGGGTGACCGGTTAGCTCAGTTGTTTAGAACGTGGTGCTGATAACACCAAGGCTGCCGGTTCAAGACTCGCATGGGCCACTGTGAGCTGCACCCTCCCTATAAAGAGAGCCAACTACGCCATTGTAGCACGAAAGCAATGTGACCAATGACCATGGCTGCTCCCTAATAAAATTTTTTTGAAAAGAAAAGAAAAAAAACGTTTCTGTATATATTGTTCAGAACTTGTCTGATAACACCTTCTCCTCCCACCCCCCAAAAAAAAGTCCTAAGCCTGAATTTTACTCCTGCAAACAAATTAAAAATTGCAGTAAAAGTCTGTCAGAAATACAGTAACAAGTGACTTAATGTCAATTTATATGTAACTATTTTATGTTGATATGTCTATCTATATGAAACTAGCTATTTATGTTGATGATATGGCCTAATGTGGAAAGTGACATTCTTTGAAAGCTGTGATTACAACTGGGGCCTTCTCTAGCAAGTAACGTCTGCGTCTGGCTCCCATGCCAGCCTCCTGCCTATAACCTCTGAATCATGAGTAAGGTTCTAGTGCTGTAAAATCTCTCATTTACATGAGTATGCTTTGACAATTCAACCCTTTGTGTTAACAAAGAGACATTATTTAATATAAACAACTAAGTAGGGAAAACAACAAGTTTCAAGATATACGCATTACTTTCTACTTTTCATAAGAAAAAAACGCACATATTTGTGTGTATCGGTTTCTAGACTTAGTCAATTTAATATTAGTGTCTACTTCTAGAAAGAAGTGGGGCTAGGGAGATAAAAAGTTAGACTTTTACTTTACAGATTTTAGTGCTATTTGAATTTTATTTAAAAAGCATATTTTTATAGCTTAAAAAATAAAAGGGAAAAAAAAACATAATGGCTCTGATGGTCTAATGAGAGAGTAAGCAGATTCATAGCAAGAGAATGACAACACAATAGGATAATTATATTGTAAGTCATATATGGACAAGAGCGGAGGTGTGTCCCATGGGCTAAGAGAAATTATAAAGGGAGAGTGACGAACTCTGTCTATGGAAGTTTGGGAATGCTGGAATGAGAACATTAGACACCTCTCCCAAAAAAAAAAGAATGGGGTATAAAAGTAGCGTAACCATTTGTCTTCTTTCGCCTAAGGTAGTCTCAGATTACCCAGCATCATTATCAATAGGTCTCCATTTCAGTCTCAAAAGTTGCCCCCGTTTGAATGACGTATAGAGCTGCTACCAGGTCAGGGATTCTCAAATTTTAGCATGCATCACAATCACATGGAGGGCTTGTTAAAACACAGATTGCTGGGACCCACCCCCAGTGTTTCTGATTCTATAGGTCTTGAGACAAGGCCGGAGAATTTTCATTCCTAACAGTTTCCACGTGATCCTGAGCTGCCAGATTAGACAGCACAATTTGAGAACTGCATACAGGTATAAAAGCGCATGGCTTTCTGTGAGAAGAGTAACTAGCTCCCAATGACCTAGTATAAGGTCTCTGAAGTAGCAGAAAGGGCAAAACAAGTGGTTTATTTAGACCAGTGTTACTGCTAGTGTGGGCTGCAAATTGATGCTTGGCCACAAACAGGTACAGTAGCAAAACTGGGAATAAGCATTTGGAAACCATGCAATGTAGCAGGGTAATTGATATCTATTAAATTTAGTGATTAAAAAAAAACTTGACTTACCTTGTACTTCTTTTTTATTTCATTTTTCTGTTTTTATAATCATTTATTTTACAAAAATATCAGCCCTTGAAAGACTGAGTGGGAAAACTGATTATTTGAGAAGCACTGGCCTAAATAAGACTACTTTGAGAGGGGCCTTGTAAATAATGCTAAGTAGACTGGTCTGTATCCTGTAAGCAACAGGAAGTAATTAAAGGCTTTTAAGTAGGGAAGTACTGAGCCCAGATTTCTATTTAAAAAGGTAATTCTGGTAATACGATAGATTAGTGGTCGTCCAACTGTTTTAAACACACATTCCCATCAGCAAAAATATGTTCACCATTCACTTTATTTTTTATAAACTTATACTACTATATTTACATGTCATTGTCTTTTAAGCCATATATAAAATATACGGCTTTTACCTGACAGGAGAGTAAGGTAAAAACTAAAAAGTAAGATCTTATTGTCACCTTCCTACCCTTCCAACGGATCATCCTGCACATTTTGGAAACCATAATATAATAGAGAATCCCTCAAAAAAGGGTAAAGGATAGAAACGGGTTGGCCATCCAACTCTGACTCATATTTAATGAAGGCTAAAACTATGTCCACAAAGCAGGCCTGGAAAATTGCTACAATTCCATGGTGTTGAGTAATAACCTAAGGACGGGGACGGAAGTCTAGTAATATGAGGACAGAAGAAAGAAATGTAGCCCTACAGCTGAACATCCAGCAAGCAGCACACAGGCGAAGTGTAACCTACGCCTCGCTCATTTCACGGTCGTAGGAACTCTTCTGCCAAACAACTTTGACCTATTTGGCTAGGCTCAGGAACCAGCTCGGCTGAAGCAAGGAATTTCAAGTTTGTTTAAACATAGTAAAGCTGAGTCTAACTTGTCACAAATCGGCTACCTACAATAGGTTATAGTCTAAACATTAAAACGTCAGTTTTCCACTGTCCTCATCATTGTGCAGCTTCCAGAGAACGAATAGCTCGGCAGCTCCCACTCTGTCATTGATCAAGAGAGTTTGTCACCATGAATTCTTCATGTCTGGTTCACTGTAGGATTTGATTAAAGGAAATTATTATAATATGTGGCTTTAAAA